GGAAGTGAAGAGTGGGGGATGAGGGTGGAGGGTGGATGGTGGAAGAGGTCTCTTATAAAGAGCAACTTCTCTTTCAAAACTCAATATTGATGTGGTCAGCTTTTTGTCTCAAATGACATGCAAATGGATGATGATTTTTAGTTAAGTAAAAATTCCAAGTTTTTTGTTGTTGATATCAAAAAGGCCTTCAGACAGCATGTGTATTTTCATGTTTGATTAAGCGTGTGTGTACGTACACATGTTTCTCTCTCTCTCTCTCTCTCTCTCTCTCTCTCTCTCTCTCTCTCTCTCTCTCTCTCTCTCTCTGTATAAATGAGAGTGTTCAAAAGTGTATCCCCGCTTGCATGTTTTTGACATTGTAGAGGGTCACGTCCATCAAAATAAAATCTCCAGAATCTTCCCACTGACAAACCCAACCCAGACTAAACCAAAAGTAAAAAGTACACCAAATCGGCGTTAACCAGGTCGGCACGTCCTACCGGGTCTTACCTTTGTACTCCATATCCGGGGTAATTTGTGACGTCACAAGCTCCATCATGGAGCACAGAGCCAGCAACAGAAGCGGTGTCAGAAACTTGACACGTCTTGTTGTACTGTTACGTGACCACATGGATGTCGTGCGCATGCACAAAGATGCTGCTGCTGCTGCTGCTGCTAGTGATGGTGCTGATGGTGGACAGGTCATCTTGGCGCCAAACCACAGGTAATGATCCAAGTTAGAAATGCTTTTTATCACACTTGGCGAAATGCGTCCGTTTCTACACTGACTTGTTTTAAAAAGCCAACTCCACAACTCCTCTATAGTTTTATTTTTGGTGTTCCTTTTAAACTATTTATTTGAATAAAACGCAATTAGTACACTCGACGGAATGTGATCGAAGTCACACTGACTTATTCTTAAAACGAAAAAAAAGAAGAAAAAAATGTAATACGTTACAATAGGTCTTGTTTTGTTCTGGTGTTCTGTTTTGCTTGTTTGTTTTAATAAAACACTATGATTGCACTTGACAAGATTTCAATTTTTACGTAAGGGTCCTGACTAGGTTAAACAATGCCCCCCAAAACGACCACACTTCAAGTTTCGTTTTGATTTTCCTTTTTTTCAGTTTATTTGAGTAGACTCAAATCTAAAAAGTTATTTGAGTACATCCAATTACGGCTTCAACTGGAGACAAAAGTGACGGACCACAACTAGGCGTTTTAGATGTTTTTTGTTTGTTTTTTAAAAGGATTTTTCTAATTTGAAAAACAAACAGGAAGCTATAGAGATACAATAAGAGACGAGGCAATCACCCAGGGCCTGGATGTGCCGAGAATGGAGGACGTGGCCAGGGACAGACAAGCGTGGCGTCGACAGCTCTCCGCCTTAATACATCGCGGTATAAGGAGAGAGTAGTAAGTAGGTAAGATTATTCTAATGATCATCACCATCCCGAATAGCTGAAAAGAATGGTGGCCGCATGGACAAGTGATTAAAATGACAAATACCAGGAGAAAAGTTCTAAAGGGCCATTCAATGAAAAATGAAACCGCAGCGACAAAGTAACGCAGGGGTTGTTATGAACTGCTGAAAAAATCATTCTGATCAGGGATATAGAGCTATTTTTTTGTTTGAAAAAATTAGAGACAACCTTCCTCAAACAAAACAAACAAACAACCAACCAAAGAACTAATCAACCTAATAAACACACAAACAAACAAACAAAACCCCCCACACAAACAAACAAACACACAAACAAAAACATACACAAATACACAAGCAAGCAAACAAACAAACAATAAAAAGGCTCTATCCCTGCTCATAATTTTTCTTACAGCATATTGTGTAACATTTATTTTCAACCTTTGGACAAATTCGTTGTGAAACTAATTATAAGATAACTGTAATGGTCTTTTATTCAGAACTAAAGCAGAACTGTTTATGTCCCTAGAAGCGGACAGGGCGGAGTCTTGTTTCAACAAATTCGTAAGCAACTTAATTACATTTTAAAAAGTATTCCCCTCCCCCCTCCCCCCCACATCCTTTTCCCCATAAAGAAATGGAAAAATGAACTTTTTTCTACTCTCTTCAAAAGTTGAAATTCGTACAGATTTCATGCTATGCCTGTCAACAATGTCGGATTTTGACATGGAAAGGGCACGCGAGGGGCATGTGAAATGCTCTGTATCACGTAAGGTTTAGACAGCTTTTTTCACCTCTGTCACGAAATGGAGAGATGCTTTTTCTCTCCAAAATATGACAAACATTTCACTTTGACTTTGAGTTGGAGTTGAAGTAAAGAGATGCACATCGACACGACAACCTTCATTTCGTTCTGGACACGCCTCCCCCTCCCTAAAAACATAAA